CCTGCTATGGACAATTTGGGGACAATGGATGGCACAGGGAGGTACCAACCAGATTCACTTACTAGTACTGTACTCGGAATATGATGCATATTGCTATATTGACAAAGGGGAGTGGTGAGAGTAGGCGAGAGGGTAGGAGGACAAAGGCGGGTTGGCAATGCGGTCAGAGGGATTGGAGCGCTGATCTTGCATTAGTAGAAGATAGTATTGATGCTGAGGAAACCTTATACCAAATTTCAAGTCAAACGGACGAGCGGGGAGAGCTCGACAATTCAGACCACGGGGAGGACGAGCGGACAAAGGGATTAGGCGCTGACGTAGGGGAAGAGCGTCGTCGGAGCCGCTGGGTCGCCGAAGGTCGTCGACAGGCATGTGAGCGTGCGAAAGTTTACCGTTGGCCTTGTCGACATGTCGACGGGTTTACTATACCTGTCAACCTGGTCAACGGTTGCGTCAACCCGCACATCACTGCTCGACGGACCGACCCCCGCGCTCGCGCTCGCGCAAACGCTATAAGCTATGCGCCACCGACGGTGAGCCGCTAGCACTCGAACACGTCACCATCCACCCAGGAACGGAGGGAGACCCAGAAGGGGGCGGATAGCACTTGCCGCCGCACCGGTCGGAGGCATGGGTTCTGGAACGGCGGGCGTACGTCGTGCTCAGGAGCTCTCTTATTGGGGCCGTCCCCGTCTTCGGGGCTTCCGCGATTCCGATCGGGACGATCTCTTTGCGTCAACAGATACCGGACCTCTCGCGTTGGACGCATGTACTCCCTGGCTGAATAGACTCACGAACTCACGAACGCAGCCCGCGGGGCTGTCCGAGCACTCTGATATGATGGGAGATATGGCGCAGGAAGTCGAAGACACGCGGCGAACGACGGCACATTTATGCCGGGGCCCGCGGACGGTGGCGGTATGGAGGAGGCGACCTGCAGGAGCTGTCCTCGTCTCGCTGGCGCATGTGTTCTGCCCTCTGTTCTATGTGCGAAACGTGTGGAGTTCTCTGCTACTTCTCAGAAGCCCCGATGGTAGAAGGCAGAGCCTTCAGGCCCCTAAGTGTCGATGGCGGTCGGGGGCGATGACCACGGGACAAGTGCGCTGTACAGGTCCCGGCGAACCCAATATACTTTATTGGCAGCAGGGGCCCCGCCGTCCACTGCCGCTGCGGCCTCGCCACTGCCAATCGCTCGTTCGTAGATAAGTGCACGATCACAGGCGTCCTCAGGACTCGAGGCAAGATCGGGGTCGCCGTGCGGTACCTTTTGCCATTTGCGCGGCAGCCTGCGTGCGCGAGCACGTGCACGTCGTCCCACCTCAGGCTGCGCAGGTTGAAAGTCTAACTCTCTGCGACGCCACTCGCGGCGGAATGCCTGAGGAACGCGGGAATCCGTTCGAGAACAGAAAGCGCGACAAGTGTCCGCTGCCGCTGTGTCCCCCGAGGTTTCCGCAACAGACTTCCTTCTATGTGGTCGCACTCGTGAGTTCCTTGCCGCAGGCCCCGGGACAGCCAAGTCAGTGCGCATCTCATCCAAGTATCCTCGAGACCGTGATCGCACCTGCATGAAATGATGTGGTCTAAGCGGCTGGGCTAAACCCTCGACTCTGCCAAGGCCTGCAGTGTTTGGATGCTCCCCGAAGAAGTTAGTTCAACGCGCGCGATCAGTGCCAGCGAAGTCTCTCGAACACGATGTATTAGACCCCATATTATTACACATATGACGGTCATTATCAAAGCAACCCTGCATGTGGAAAACAAGTACTATGGACACCCGAGAGTAAGAGAGGGATTAACACGACACTGTGGAGGAAGGAGAGCATACGACGAGTAATATACGACAACACAGGAGGCGAAGGACGTGTAGACGAGAGTGGGGAGGGGGAGAGCAAGCGGCAGGTGATGATGATGGTAGTGGCGTAACAGTATATACACGAAGGAAGGGAATAATCGACATGACAAAGGGCTAACACTCCTGGTAGATGGGGGAACGGAAGACGCGGTCGCTATCCGAATGGTCTTCGTCGTGGAAGGGGAGAGGCGGATCGAGCTCGAAAGGGTAGAAATAGTCACTGTCCGACTCAACGTACACGTGGGGATGGCCGCGCAACCGCGTCCGTTCCGCGGGCAACGGCACAGACGCTGGGTCGGTAGGGGACAACGATGACATGGACCGGCTGTATGGCGTCGAAAGCGCGTCGGACTCGTCGTCGGACGTGTCCTCGATCGCGTCTGGCATGCAGAGGTCCTCTACGTCGTCATCTACGTCGAAGTAGGGAAGGGGATCATGGTCACACGAGTCCAGCTGGAGCCAAGAGGGCGAAAGTGGGGAATGGAGAGGGGGATATGGTACAGGGTAGGGTACCGCAATAGGTGGCGGCTGATAGAACAAGCTGGAGTGCTGTCCGACGAGGTCGTCCGATGATGAGCTTGGTGAACACAACGGACTCAGCTGCTCGTCGTCTTCGTCTACGGGCAATGATGAGCTCGACGCAGCGGGACCGTCAACATCCGCATAGTCGTCGTCGTCGCCAAGATCTTCCAAAAGCGAGTCTAGCCACTGCTTCTCGGAGTCGCCACCGCCGGCGCTGCGAGAGCCAAGAGCGTGGGGATCAGGGAACATGAAGGCATCCTCCTCAACCTCGTCGTGTGCCTCGTCGTCGGGTCTATATACATGTTGTACATCAGCGTCTGCCGTGGGCGGGGCAGGGTCGACTGTGTGAGAACGGAGGATGGAATTTTTGAGGAGGACCCAGCGGTGGAGACTGCTAGAGTCCTTGCTGACGCCGGAGACGGCGGTATTCAGCTTAGAGCGAGCCATGTAGAAAAGGGATGGGGGCCAAGATTGTTGTGGTGCTGATGGCATGGGCGCTGGGGGACGGTCTGCGGAGGCAGGGGTTGATAAGAAGGGCCGGTTGAACGACACGACTGTATGCGGGCAGCGGTGCGTTCTATGAAGGAGCGCGCACAGCGCATGTCAGGACCGATAGGGCAGAGGCAAAACGTAAGGAAGAGATATACTAACGAGGCAGGAGGGAGGCGTGCGTCTGATCACCGGTGTATACGGTAGACGATGAAGGGCTCGAACAGGATGGTGCCGTTCTTGGACTTGCGTACGGATTTGTTAACCATGGTTCTCCAGGTCGCCAGCACTAATCGAGGGTGCGTGTAGGCGAGGGAAGAAAGCGAAAGAAGGGCAGGGGACGGGAGACACGCGAGCGACCTAGACGGACATGGTGGAGGGGGGCAGGGAGGCAACAAGCCGGTGAGGACGAGGAGAGTCAGACGCCCTTATAACACCGCTGACGCGCCCGGCGGTGACTCAACTGCCTGCCTTTCTCGGCCGATTTCCCACTCCTCCGGTCTCGTCCGCCAGCGCCCGCCACCTGCCGACGCCCTGCCGCCCGCCTCCTATTGGCTGGGACCCCGTGGTGATGCGGGCGTTCCGCGACATGGCGAGCGACTGACTTGGCGCCCTCTGCAATCCTGCGCCAGCATTGCGCCGACCGGTCCTGCTGGTATATACAACTATTGCGAATCATACACCATTCAGTCCGTCCTATCTCCTGCCCCAGCCTCCTCCACTTGCCCTCTCCCCAATCTCCGACCGACTCCGCGCCTACCCTTCGTCCATCACTTCCTCTCCCACGTCCGCGTCCTTGACGGTGTCGACCAGCTTTCTTATCTTCGCCACGCTCTTCGGCGCCACATCCCGCACCTCGGCCAGCAGCTGTGTGAACTTGACGTCGTCGCCCAGCAGGCGGTATGCCTTTGCGAGCTGGAACAGCACGTTCGACTCGTCGGGGGACGTGTCCCTGAGAGTCTCCAGATCTTGCACCGCTGCCTGTTACGGTGGCGTCAGATGATGAGCACGACGATGGGAACACAGCACAAACGCCACAACGTGTATCAATCAGACGACTCAGTCCCAGCGATACGGAAACTGGAACGCCAACACTAACCGTGTATTTCTTCATGGCGATAAGGATTTTCGCTCGATGATAGCGCACCAGCGCGTTTTCGGGTGAGAACTCTATAGCCCTGTTGAACAGCTCCAGCGCCTTGTCGTATTCGCCACAGCGTTCGCGCACCTAAGAATAGCGTCAGTAGACAGATCGGAGTGCTCGCGTGAGCGGAATCCTCTGCATGACTGGGCAGCCTACTGCAGGGCGAACCCTGGCCCGTCTTCAACACGAGACATTCCGTACATCGACGCGCGGAATGATGTGCGTGTGAATGAACAGGCGCCCATTTCGTGTCACCGGTCTTTCAAACAGACCCCAGTCGTGCGAGCGATTCCGACGACACTGCGTAACCTGGAAAAGGAACTCACCACGCCCACACAGCCGAGCAGGACGGCATTCTGAGGATGGATCTGGGAGGCCTTCTTGAAGTGGTAGTCCGCAAGACGTAATCTGCTCATACGCATATAGCATGTCCCTAGCCCATACCTGCGGACGTAAACAATCAGTTGATAAGCACTTCCCTATTGGCGCGACCTTATCAAAGTTTATGTCTGCGTAGCCTCCAAGCCTCATATCCCCGTATCTCTTCATGAGGCTGTAGCATGGCAGGCGATCGAGAGTTGTGCTCCAAGACATGAACGTTGCCCCGAGGAGATAGAACTTCAAGGAGAGTCGGGGAATGAGTCTGCCCCTGAAGGACCATTCCTGGACTGCCTGCTTTGCCGGAGAGATAACCCGTTCGAGGCAGGCGGGATCATCTAGTTACTCTTTTGTCGGCTGTCTTTCCGAGCCTTTTTCCAAAACTCGCCACGCCCATCAAGAGGTCGCCTATGGAGGTCGCCTTACCCGACATATAGTGTGGGACTATTGTTTGAACGCTTGTGCGTCGTGTGACGCTGATGATCAGCGCGCAATTTGACGTTTGACACGGCCCGAATTCCCGTGCTAGGAGAGGAGTCCAGCGGGCAAGCAGAGGCGACCTCCAAAAGGCACTCATTAGCCTCAACGCCACAGCGCGACCAGCAGCACTCGTTGCGGGGAGTGCAAGCGCCGACCTTTACGGGTGATGTTCCCGAGACATGCTATCGCTTGTAACATCACAAGACGCGTAGAGTTCCGATGCGCCTTGTCCGAGCGAGCGAGTATGACACCATAGACACAGAATAAGACCGGCCCATGACCATTCAGCGATTTGGACATTGCTAGCGTTGAATGGTGGGGTGCGAGTCGCGACCACGTGAGCGCCGACGCGCCCAGATGCGTCATCCGTTCCCGTTGCGACTCGACCTTCTCGACCACGCCACTTGCGTCTATGGCATCTGGCGCCCGACGCTCCAGCTGCAAACCTCACCGAGTCGGGCTCGCACCTGAAGCTTCGGGAATCTAGGCCATACAACTAAGCGACGTTGCCGTCAGACGTCGTCATGTTTAGGAGGGGCCGCTCATGACGTCCGCTAGGTTTCCGCGCACCATCCCGAAGCAGCATGCAGCGATAACCGACCCGTTTGACCCGGATTCACTGTCCGCTACAGGCGGGAAGTCCGACTATGATTGTGCAGGCTGTGCACGACCATGGCCGTAGACTCGAACTCCGACTATACACGTGCCGAGCTAGGCTCAAGAAGAACAGATAAAGAAGCTGAAAAGGCCCTTTGACGCACCATGCATTGTAGTGTCGTGCATCAGCACGTAAGGCGGACTGGAAAAAGCTGATCGCCTTGCTAAGGTCCTCGTCGATTGACTCGTGTCCGCTTAGCGTGTAGGCGTAGGCGCATGTGGGGTCCAGCTGAGCCGCACGTCTAAAACACGTAAGAGCCTGGGTCTTCTCTTTCTGCAAAGAGAAACAGTTCCCAACGGCTATCCAGGCTTGCGGCGATTTGGGGTCCGTCGAAAGCAGCTCCTGAGCGAGGAACGACAACCGGACGTTGCGCTGCAGGTGCCATAGAAGTGTTGAGTACACCTCCATATCCCATAGCCGGTGTGGCTCTAGATTCCTCGCGGCTTCGAACGCTCGCTCGGCCTATTCCACGAAAACACGAGTCAGTATCTGAATCGAATGGAAAGTTCGAAGAGCGGAGATGGATGAACGCACCTCGGGGTACTGTCCCAGTTCATAGTGTGCTTTGCCTAACATAGCCATCACTGAGGCCGAACGTTTGTGCTGTGCAGGCAGCGTTTCGAGTTCATCAAGGCATAGCCGACAGTCGTATAGTGCCATCGCTCGCGAAGCACTGGCGAACTTGCGCATCACCTCGTATATGTGATAATCGGCCAGATCATTTTCGTACGCTTCTTGTGTCGCGTGCTCCTGTTCTGCTGTCCATGCTGCTGATGTTGGCGGAGATGACTCCGAATGCGTATGTTGCGCGAAGAGTGCTGGTGGAGCAACGACTGGTTGGTCAGACCCCCCTGGCTCCTCTTCTATCCCGGAGTCATGAGATTGTGACCGTGTCTTTGCTGCGACGCGCCTTCGATCCCGTACCGTCTGTATGGATAACAGATGTTATGTCAAGCACTACATAACAATGAGGATGAGGATGTGGATCTACAACCTTCGCCAACTTGCTCCCTCCACTCTGTAGCCTCGTACTGCGTCGTGTGCTGGAGCCCCCAGCTGCGGGTCTACCTGCCCCAATTGTGTTGGATCGCGATGCCGTCGTAGTCTGAAGTGGGCGCAGGGAGTATGAGAACGCGTTAGCAATTGTCAAATCCGGGCGTGCGCGTGCCTTAGAGCTTTTTGTGCGATCATCTGGAACGGTTTCGGGAATAGCGCCCGTGGACTTCGACGGCTTGAGTTGATGCTGAATGTCACCCGCTTTGGTCGAGGGTGGGGCAGTTCGCTGCCGAACGGTAGACCGCAGCTTCTTGGTCACTGGGCCCGCTTCATCGGCGGAAGAAAGAGGACGCACAGCTGGTGGCTGGACCGCCAATGTGGTCGGCTGCGAGCGGCTTGCGCGTACAGGCCCCTGGAAGGAAGGCTCTCCATAGAAAGACGAGTCGGTAGTTGCTCTGCCGTCATTCACGTAAGTCACCGAAGAGATACGATGAAGACCCAGGACAAACATTGAATCTCGCGGTCCGGTTAGTACATCCTTCCTCAACTCGGGCTTCCAACCACGAAAGAGGTTACCGCCGTTGCCAGCGTCAGGCGTGAAAAATCCGGCACCTGTTGCAACTGGTATTGACAATTTACTGGGCCCTATTTCCGAAGATTTCTGTAGAACGGGCATCGGTCGGACGGGAAACAAAGTCTCCACGGGAGGAATATCCCCTGCAGCAACGTCAGAACACGCACTGTACGACAGATTAGAGAAGGACCTACCGATGGCACATAAACCCTCGAAAGCTTCCCACAGCATTGGATTCAATTCTAGGGCCCGAATATAACTTCTTGCAGCAATTTCATGTAGATTACCCTTCAACGCGGTATTCCCTGCTTGACAGTGCCGTATTGCATCATCAGGAGATGCTCTCGCTATCCGAGCGGACATGGACTCTGTGAAAACTCTCAGCCATGAGGTGGGACCGTGCATGCAGCGTGTCTAACGCGTCATGGAGAGACGCACGAGTTGGTGTATAGTCCGGGTCCTGCAAACACACATCCAGGGCCCCCCGCGCCTGCCTGTGCCTACCCAGCTTCATGCAGCATTTCGCTATGATGTCGACGCACCCCGTACAGCGATTGTCCAACGGTATATTGACAAGCTTGTGAGCCGAGTGTGGTTGACCCGCTTGCAGGAGTGCAGTGGCATATAAATGGCGCGCGTCGTGATTCTTTTGGTCGAGGACAAAGTACCGTTCCGCGTAGAAAAGCGCGGACTTGTGGAGATCGGCGTCGAGGAAGTACCATACAAGTGAAGAGTAGCGTTGACATAGCTGCGGGGTGAGTACCGCAGGAGGAGCGTCTTGTGGCATAGTGTTCTTAGGGCATAGACGGTATGAATCAACTTGGTAGCAAGGCGCAGCAGGCGCGAGGGGTCGCGCACGGATCGCAAAGGGTGGCTAGTGGCGGGAGGTCGAGGAGATGTTCAAAGAAACGGGCCCGGCGCACGACCCGCCAAACCAACCGCGTCTATCTAAGTCACGTGACTGATTCTCCGACATCTCGTGGGCCGCGATTACACGACTATGTTATGGCCAAGAAAACCTAATCAAGGTCGGAGCACACCTTACAAGGCCATCAATTATGGTCACTGAAGTAAATGTACACGTCGGAGAAGTTTTTGGTACCCCTTATAGCCATTCGTACTGTAGATGATGTACAATGCAGCAACACGAACTACGCGTCCCACTTCTTCGACCTCGTATTCTCTAGTGTCCATGGCCATCGCCTTCAGGCTTTGATTCTAGGATCGTGGTACTTGAGCACAGCATTCTCGCAGCAATGACAGCCAAAGGCTTTACTCACCAGGAATGCACTGGATAGCGTCGTCTATCCTGAGAATCGAAACGGCAGCTTCGAACGCAGACTTCAGGCTTCGGACCTTGCTAACTGTCGGCTCGAGCACTCCAGCCGCCACGTTGTCTCGCACTTCACCGTTGAGTAGGTCAAGTCCATATCGGAGGAGCACCTTCTTCGGATCACCGATAGGCGCCTGCTGTGCAGCGTTGTGGTACGAACGAAGCTTCGCTACGAGGTCGGTCGAATCCTTCGCCGCGTTAACCGCGAGGATCTTCGGGATCACAAGGAGCGAGCTGGCGAACTCTCCAATGGCGAGTTGCTCTCGGGAACCCTAGCACCGGATCTGGTTAGACCCAGATCGAGGAACATGATCGAGGCCCCGAGGTCATCTGGGACTTACCACTGTCGTCGCGAAATTCTCGAGATAGATGCTGAGCGCCGATTCGACAGCACCTCCACCAGGTACAACAGAGCCACTCTCCAGAGTGCGCTTGATGATGGACAGCGTGTCGTGCAGGGCACGCTCCATCTCGTCCAGCATGTAGTCGTTCGCGCCACGCAGCACGATCGACGACGAGCTGACGACTTTGGTGCCCTTGATTAGAATGAGTTCATCGTCGGAGATGCGCTCCTGCACGACCTCGTCGGCGTAACCGAGGTAGCTCGGCTCGAACGACTCCTCACCCTCCAAATTGGCCAGGCTGGACACGAGCGTACCACCGGTCGCCTTCGCGATGCGGCGGAGATCCTCCTTCCTACACCTGCGTACAGCTATTGCACCAGCCTCAACGAACTCCTTCAAACACATGTCGTCGATACCCTTCGTGGTAAGGACAACATTGGCTCCAGCAGCCAAGATTTTGCGAATACGCTCGATAGTGATGTCAGATTCGCTACATTAGTTATTGAAGTCAACAAGCGTGTGTCAATTATGAAACTGTTCAAACGTACCGTTTGCGAATGTCTTCCAACTGTGAAGGATCGTCGACCAGAATCTGCACACCAAGTTGCATGCGTGCTTTCTGAAGATTGATGTCGAGGCACGCAATCTTCGCTCCAGTGATGCGTTTCTTCATGGCTTCATTGCGAGTCAGCATTGTCAACCTATATGACGGCGAAACGGAGAAGGGTAGACGTAGACGTACCCTGACTTGCAACAGTGCAATTCAAGGCATAGCCTTTCACGAATAACGACTCCCGCGCACTTCGTCCGTGCGCCTTCAGGACGTTCACGGCCTTCACGGGATACTTGATGTCGCCCCGGTTGTTGATCGTCTTCACGGACAGCATCGCGTCCACCGCCATAGGGGCGAAGAGGTCATCATCCCTGTCCGCATTACATGGGATTAGTCCGTGTTCTGCTTGATCGCCCCTTCTTTGTAAACAGAAGCCAAGGGACTCACGATCCGATGATCTTGCTCGACATACTCGTCTTCGCAGCGTTGACGAGGGCTTCCCGTCCAAGCGCATCCACCTTCACGCTGAGCTGGTCCTGCATAAACTTGCATGCCTCCCTGCACGCCAGACGATACCCAGTAATGATCGTAGTAGGATGAATCTTCTGCTTGACGAGCTCGTTTGCCCGGCGGAGAAGCTCAGCAGCGATGAGTACGACTGACGTCGTTCCGTCGCCGACTTCCTTGTCCTGCTTTTGCGCGAGATCGACGAAGACACGACCTGCGGGGTGCTCGACGGCCAGGAGAGAGAGGATCGTAGCGCCGTCGTTGGAGATGGTGACTTCCTGCGAGCGTTCCGCGCGACACAATGTCAAAAGGTCGACTGACGGGCAAGAGAGCAAGTACGCACTCCGATATTATCCACCAACATTTTATCAAGACCCATGGGACCCAACGAACTCTTCACAATGTTGGCAATCGTTTGAGCGGCGAGGACTACGCGTAGAGACTCTCAACGCACATCCTGGGATGAGCGACCTGGTCGACGCACCATTTTGGTCCCGGACATCCTGTCCGGACACACGGTCACCTCCCAAGAAAGCACCTGCACGAGGATCACGTTGAAACATTTTGAAGCTAGGTCTGAGGAGGAGCGTTGAAGGTAGGAGCGTCCAGATCTCGCTCAAGAGATTTCCTCGGGACACGCGCTCCATGCATTTCCGATTTAGGCAAGTCCCGTTCGTGAAAGCTCTGGAGTTCAACGCAAGGCTATAGGACGCTATTCAAAGTACTCTTCCTCTGCGTCGTAACTCTGAGCACTCAATATATCTTCACGTGTAAAGGTGATGTTACATGTGATGATCGACATAAAACTGTACTGCTCGGTAACTTTGCCTAAACCAGCCCTAGTCTAGCGACTCAGTTGCAACAGCAATCGCTTCACGCCTGATGGAAGCACAGTGCGACATAACATGAGAATGCTATGGATACAACCTTGTATTATCAACATAAGTGAGTGAATCCGTAGCGCGTAGAGGTTTCGTGGCTGGAATTAGTCTGATGTGCAAGATCGATGATAGAAAGGTCCATTCGTCGAGAGCTCAAGCCAAGGGCCAGCATCAACTATGCGGATCCTTCAAACCGTATATCAGCGCGCCTTTCTGGGCGGTTCCGTTACTTGGCTGGGGTTTTCCGTCGTTGGATGGTAGCCGCAGGGTAGGGTAACGACGAGTAGGTTTGGGAGCTAAAGCATTTTCCTACGCGTTGATGGTCAATAATTAGGCAGATGGTCGAAGAACACTTAGTCGACGAAACGTACTCTGAAAGCCGTACCCACGCTCTTCTATCGCATGACGACGACAGGGGTAGCTGGAGAGTCCGGCTCGGACGAGCTATCTTCTGCGTCCAGGAAGGGGTCAAGAGTGGTGGTGATCGAAGCCTTGTGAGGGGATCCAATGATAGGAGTCACCCCCCACTTTGGCAGGTACGAAGGAACTGTGCGTCCGATGGGCGCGACCGATTCGGTGGACCACTCCGACAGCTGACCAATTGTGTCGATGGATTCGCTGGACTGACTGCGGAAGGGGTTGCGAATAGTGCAAGACACTGACGTAGTATTCCGATCGATTCGAGGGCGAGCAGACGGTGGCCTAGCGGCAGCATAGGGGGTTGCCGGCTCTCGAGGCGGCTCGAAGGGATCGTACTGCTCAGTCCCTTTAGGGGACTTGATATATGTCTGGCCGCCGCATCTCCTGAGTTCGGATGCCTAGCACACAATGCGTGAGTGCCATCTAAAAGGTCATCAACAGTCTTCGTGATTACCTCTTTTGCGGTGGAAGGCAACTCAATAGTGCCAGTAGACGCGCGCGCTTTCTCGCCGGAACGACGAGACTTTTTCTGCAAATATCTTTCAGAAACACCATGACGAGATAGCGATGAACTGACCTCGACTCGCTTCTGTCGACTCAGCGGCGTGAAGCCGGCTTCGTGCTGAGCATCCTGCTTCTTCTTGAAGACGTTGAAGTGCGCGAACATGATGAGTGTATCCGACTACCTGGGGCGGTAAGAGGGTATTGTCGCTATTCGCAGGTGAGTGAAATGGATGGTGTTTGCACACCCTTGTTCGAAAGTGTCAGCTTATATACGTTCGAGGCCCTACCTACAAGTATGGGCACCGAGATATTCTAATCTGTCTTCCCGCTTTCATAGGGCGGACGTATTGGGATATCCGCTCGCTGGGGGCCGTACGATCGTGCAGTTGATCCCGATCACACATTTTACCACTACATACCATGCCGAACATCGGAGAGCCAGCGCCAGCGTAGAGGAATTGAATGGCAGTGCGTTTGAAGAAGGCCTGGGAAGCGATTCAGTCTCATACAAAATAGGGCCGTTGAGCGGAGGAGGTTATGCAGACGGTATCCGAAGAAGCCACGTTTGGCGGCCGCTTCAAGGACCGAAGAACCCCAAGTTATGGTTACGTATAGTGGAGGCACACACGCGTCACGCGCCTCCGAGTCGCGGCACTCATCCTTGCCTGTTACTCCCAATCTCCTTACCTCTGTACACGCAACGTTGATGGACTCGCCTTTGAACGCTGTATGCAACGTTACCAAACAATGATCATGAGCGTGCTCGCTGACGGAGCCTTCGCATATCCTGCGGTGGCTGTGGACGCAGGCTCACCAGCATGCTGCAAATGCCGACGACTACCTCGCCCGCGGCCTTCTCATCCCCGCGGCTGAGGAGCATTACAAGGCCGCAGAGGCCTTTCAAGCGTGTGTAGATGCATCGAACGACGACAACGTGCGCTTTTTGCTCGTTCTTGGCTGTCATCGACCCGGGGCCGCTCACCGCCCTTGCATGTTTCCTGTCATCAACGATGTGCATTCGCTGTACATGGCACGACCGCTGTCCGTAATTCACATTTCCCCCACCTAGACAAAGCGCACGCTTCGAATGCTGCACAACGAACACATGAAGATGGGCAAGGACTTGCAAAGGCGCATTGCGAAGCTGAGAGAAGAGAACAAGGATCCTTCCTTACCGCAGAAGCCCCCTCGAGTTCCCGCTGCTGGTCCAAGCACCAGTGTCTCTCCTCCGTCTCCTCAGCCTCCATCGTCACCTCCGCCGCCGCAACCCCAGAACAAGCTGTCGGACTCACAGCAGACGGTAGACGAGTCGTTCATGCTTCTAGGGCAAAGAGTACGCCTCCTCTCCATTGTCCCATGTATCGGGTAAGTCCTAAGAGACGCACAGTCTGACCCGGGAGACGCATTCCACCAATTCTGGAAGGCGACCGAGGGCATGCTGGAGTATCTCTCCCGACCCGTTGCATTCGCGACCGCCCCGCTCGCTCCCCAAGAATCCAATCTGAACAGCAATCGGAACGGCAGCTGGAGCAGCGACACCGACCTCGAAGATCCGATATCCAAGAAGATCTCCCGCGGGATCAGCCTCGTGAAGGCCGCCCATTCCAGGATGCTCACCCGGTACGACTCGCCCGCGACGGGCTCGGACACGGAGGCGGCGCCGGGGCCCAGCGTCTTCCCGCCTCCGCCACAGCCGTCGCACGCGTTCGACATTCGCGACGATTGGGACGACGATGTCCGCGCGTTCGAAGGTAGGAGCCACCGTTTACGGCAGGTTGTGTGAAGATCGCTCGCTCATCGCGTGCATCCGGCGTTCTAGATGACGACATGGCGGACTCGTTCTGTCTCGTGCCGTCGAAGTCCGAGCCGGGCGTCGCATCTCTGAAGGAGGAAAACGCCTCGCTCAAGGCGGAGCTCGAGAAGCAACGACAGCAGCTCGTGAATATGGAGGCGGCGCTCAAGGCCCGCCAGGAACAGGACCAGCAGTTGCGCGACAGCATTATGCTCGCGAGGAAAGAGGTGCGGTTCCTCTCCGTTTTCCAAGCCGTATTTCTGATGCCGCGTGCCCCCTTGCGGCCTGCTGCTCCGTCTTTCATGCCGACGTCGTGTGCTCCGAAGAGAAGCTCGTGCTAACGTTTGTTCCCGGGTCTCAGGCACACCGCGCAATGCTGTCCTCGACCGTCGTCGCGCGCCCGACTGCCGTACAGCCGCCAGTGGACATCGCGTCCCTGAACCTCACCGTGCCCGTCCCCCCTCCGGTGCCCGCAGCCGTCGCGGCGGCGAACAACGGCCGCGAACGCGACCCCCAGCTCGTGCGGCGCGTGCGGGAGCTCGAGGAGGAGGTCCGGAACCTCCGCAGCGAGAACGAGAAGCAGGTGCGTCGGCGTCGCCCCGTCCCACATCCCCATCCACATCCACATCCACATCCCCGCCCGCGGGCGCCGCCGTCTTCGAGCAGGAGCTGACATCGGTGTGCGGGCGTTGCAGAAAGCGATGATTGTGCGCTTCCGGGAGCGGTGGGAGAAGCTGAAGGAGTCGGCGAAGCGCAAGAAGGAGGCGAAGGCCGCAGCGGAGACGACGAACGTGGTGGGCCAGAGGATAGAGGAGGACCCTGAGGCGGAGGCCGCTGCGGAGCGGGACGAGGCTGGGAGGGAAGACGACGTCGCTTTCGCTTGAGCGTGCTTCGCAGAATGCTCCCCACCCCCACGGATGTGGGGTGGTTACCCGTGCGGTCGGGCTGTTCCTTGAGGTTGGCCTAGACGGGCGTCGTTGCTGCCGTCGGTGTCTCACGCTGTGCTTGTCTGTTTGTGCACGACCGGGCAATCTCTCCAGTATGCTTTTTGCTTTGTATACACACTTGTATCTGTAGCTTCTTGGTCAATGTACAGTTTGTCCCACTCCATGAACCTCATATGTTACGCTGGTAGAGAGCTGCTGCTCGTCGTGGCATGCTTCCGGATATCGACCGCTTCCTGGCAGAAGGTTTTGCAAGGCCAACTTACAGTCTTCGGAAGGCAATACCTTACCCGGGTCCGAGACTGAAGCGAGGGCCGGACCGCCGTGTCCCTTGCGAGGACGGAACCACGTCCACCTTCCCTCACGCCAAATATTTCCGTGCATGCATAGATTCGTAGACTTCAGTAGACGACCGGCGATGTCCTAGGAACTGCTCGGCATCAAGTTCCCGGCAGATACGTCGACAAGCAAGAAACCACCTTGGAACTTGCAGGAAGGGAACGGCAGCCGGATACGGATCCTGGAGCTGTTCAAGGGACATGTGTGGCGCTTGGTAGTATGAGGTTGAGCTCAAGCGCGCCAGGATGCATCGGGATCCAAAGAAGACCATACCGCTGTAGGCTGTGACAAATGAGCGTAACGAAACCAGGCGTTAGGGTGCCAGAGTCCCCGAGTACAATGGTGGTATACCCCTTCAAGAGTACGGACTAGGCTGACATCGAAGGTCTTGTACTGGCATTGCGTGCGTACAAGGCGCAAGCCGAAGGAGTTATGCACTGAAGAATCAGTATACAACAACGGGCAAACGTTCCTATGATACCTGCCCGGGACACGTTAGATCGCCGGGCTCGGAAGCGACGAGACTGCGGCCGGGAAGAGGACTCACAGTATTATTGACGGATTCGAACCACTGCCCCTCCCCCGCGACCTACGCAAACAACCCGTAGTCAACGATGCGCAAGGACTTGGCGGCGATGTCGAAGACGGCCTTGGCCTCGGCCCAGCTGTCCTCGCTGACGGAGCCGCCGTCGGTGCTGGTCATGGGGACGTTCATGGTCATGACGAGGTCGACGGCCTTGTGCTTGACGCGGTAGAGGGCGAGGAGGATGCGGACCTCGTCCGCGGACGTGCTGTTGAACTTGTGCACGGTCTGGGTGCCGTAGAGGACGACGGGGTCGGGGGTGGCGCCGTTGGAGCCGTTGGGGACCTTGGTCGCGTCGTGGACCTTGTGGGACTTTGCGTCATTGTCGTGCGCGAGGGCGTCGAAGTGGAGGCTGGGGAAGCGTGGGGAAGGGCGGGGAAGGGGGATCGGCGTCGGCTCGGATGGGGACGGGGAAATAGAGGAACAAGGAGGACGTACCCGGCGGCTTCTCGGGGGTCGGTCGCGGGGACACTCTGGAGGACTTCGACGATGATGCTGATCCCGGAGGCAGGTGATAGGAAGACCTCTTGTGTGTCTGGCACTTGGCGGAGGTCTCTGGACGAAGAGAGGTCTGCAAAGAGTGACGTCAAGGAGATGGAGGAGGGCGTACGAGGCATCGATGAGCTGTGAGGGGAGGTCTGCGGTGATGGTGCCTCCGAAGAGCTCCCTGGTGGCCGACATCGCGCGCTCTTCTGCCGGGGTCAGCGATGGGGACGAGGGTGCAGCTGGTGCAGGAGAAGGCAGACGGGATCCATGCGGTAAGTAATCCGACCCGTCGGACCCGACCATGCCATCGCGCGCACGTGCTCGTGTGACTGACGCGTTCAACCCGCCCCGCGTCGCCCGCCGCCACTGGTTGCTTTTGTCCTCCACCGCCCCCGCCCCCGCCCCAGCTCCCGACTCCTGCCGCCCGTCGTCCGTCGTCTCCCCCTCCCCATGGAGCTCACCGGACGACGCAGCACGATGGCCCCCCACGCTGACACCTACGGAAACGCTCGCTCCAACCTCCCCGTACCCTCAACCGTCAAGAAACCCGCCCACGGCCATGGACGTATGTCTCTCGCAGGCCCCGCAATCCGCGCGCCCTATCCCATGCCTCCCCCTTCAAATCCTAGGCAGTCGCTTATGCGCTCACAGAATGTGAACCCGCTACTTCAGAGTGCGAGTAAGCCGCAGTCTTACGGCCGTACACCAATGCACAAGTGAGTCTTGCTTGTTTGCGATAAATGCCAGTAAGTGGAATATGGGTTGTAGACAAGGTCGGACGCATTGGCGAGCAACCGTATGGTGATGTGTGGGAGGGATGGGGTGGCACGGAGCTGGATCATTCGACTGCCTATTCCATGTGCGAGTTGCTCATCCTCCAGTGCCTTCAGTCCACAGGGCGTGCGTGGACATCAGCATGTGCAGACAATTCCATGCAAGAGCTTCAGCTTCGAATATTTGCCAGCATGTACTTACAGCAACCCTACGTTACAGTAACATCCGGAGAGGGTCAATGTGGCAAGGAAGCAATCAAGCAGCCGCACCTCCATCGAGCCAGACGTTCGCCAAGGACGCCCGCCCCCTCCGGGACAAGTCGTTCCAAGCAAAGATGCGCCAGGACCTGGGCAGCTTCCTCATGAGCACCGGCTTCGACGTCGCCCCCCAGATGCTCCAGAACATCACAGGAAAGGACTTCCGCGCGGTCTTCCAGCACCTCATCATATGCCTCGACCCGCTGTGGCCGTTCGAGCTCGAGCTCCGCTTCGAAGACCACTTCATACAGGCCCTGCGCGCCATGAAGTATCCGTACGTCGGGCAGATCGACGTGCGGTGGCTTCCGACACCCGCTGCCATGCACTCGTGGCCGTCATTGCTCGGCATGCTGCACTGGCTGGCCGAACTCGGTAAAGTTGGTCGGACTCGTTTTCCCTCGCCCGTAGCCATGTCTGACCGCACGCCAGGCTCGCGAGCGATACATGACCAGTGGACATCCGACACTGCAGGATCCTACGCTCGTGCCAGACGAGTTCGATGACATCAACCACCACCTCGCGCTCGCTCTGGACCACAATACTACCGCGTACGAGGTCTTCCTGCAAGGGCAGGACGTCTTCCCGGAGCAGGAGAAGCTTCTGGAGGAGCGTTATGGTACGTCTGCACCGACCCCCGGCCCGAGTTCCTGCTCATTGTTGTTGCAGCGAGGAAGGACGCTCGCGTCCTCTCCGACTTGGAGCAGCGTCGGGAGAAGCTGATGGAGATCCAGACCGATTGGGAGCAGCTGAAGAAGTCAGCGGTATGAACGCCTTCGTGTCGCTGGGAACGCGCGCTGACGCCGTTGCAGCCGCCGTTTGAGGAGCTCAAGAAAGACAACGGCTCGCTGAAGCGCGACAAGCTCAAGTTCGAGGAGATCCTCCGCCGGTTCGAGGAGCGCAGGCAGAAGTGGCTGCGCCAGGTGCAGGACGAGAAGACCGAGCTAGAGTACAACCGTGCGTGCACTCAAATGGATTCAGCTCCTCCAATCCAACGCTGACCTGACCGCCCCCGTCCTCCGCGCAGTGGCGGACCTCGAGCGGCTGCGCGCCGAGGAGGAGCGGCTCCTGGGCATCGTCAAGGAGCAGAACCTCTCGCCAGAAGAGGTGCTGCGGATGAACACCGAGCACCAGAACCTGACGCGCGAGCTCGAGGCGCTCAAGCACAAGAAGCACGAGACGTCGCAGGTCGTCGTCCGGCTCGAGGTCTCGCTCACGCGCAAGGTGTCCGACGCGGAGGAGGCGCTCGATCAGTACACCGCGCTGCTGTCCGCGCTCGGGCTCTTCCCCCCGCTGCCGCCGCCGCTCGAGGGCGTCGACCTCGCGCTCGACCTGCGCCCCGCCGCGGCGGGCGCGCAGGGCTTGTTGGTGGGCGCGGACGTGAGGAGCGTGGTGAAGCCGGCGCTGAATAGGGTGGCGGAGATGAAGATGACGGCGCGGGCGGAGGTGGAGAGCGAGCGGATCCGCGTAGACGACGAGCTGGACCAGCTCACGCTCGAGTGCGAGACGGTCGAGGAGGAGGTGCTCGAGGTGATGGGCAAGACGAACGCGCTCAACGACCAGGCGGACGAGCTGCGCGAGGTGCGTGTGCTGTGCTGTGCTCGGATCCGTTCGGGAATGCTGACGGTTTGATCTGTCCTGTCTTTCCGTCTGCCTGTCTGTCTTCCTCTTGTCGCTGTCGTTGTTGTTGTTGTCGGCTCCGTACTGCTCCGCCAGGCGGCACAGCAGGAAGCTTTGGTCAGCAACGCCGAGGCGTCTCGGCTCGAACGCGACCTCGCGGCTGCGAGGACAGCGGCGATGGCGAACGGGGTAGGCGTCAAGTCGCGCCTCCAGGCATTACAAATCGCGTACGTCTTTCTAACTCATCTATCGTCGGTGCTCCCCCCTTCCCATGCTTCCTGCCAATCTCCTGCCATCTCTCGCGCTGTCGAGCGTTCGTATGCTCACGGAGCGCGCCTGCCAATTTGACAGATACCGGGAGCAGATCGAGAAGGTGAACAGGCTGAGGGAAGATACGGTCCGCGCGGTGATCAAGAACAGCAGCGACATCGTCGCGTTCAAGGACGAGGTGTCGAAGCAGCTGCAGTACCTGAGGGACTTTGCCGAGGCGAACTGAGCGGTGCTCGTGCTGTCAGTTTGCCACGCCGGTTTTGTGCCTTGTCTGTCGTGCTTATGTTGCGGACAGGTGTCCGTTAGCATCTGGCTATACTCCTCTGAGCGTATGTGTGCGGGCCTCGTTCTGTCTTCGTGTCGATACCTCTGTCTTCGTATCCCCTATCCTTATCCCGGTTCACAGCGCTTTCCATCTAATTTTTTTTGTTCACACATGGGGCCCTGATCAATCATGTCTGTTGTACATGTACATCGCTTCGTTCATTGTATGACATGCCCGTTGGATTTGGCAAAAATTTTCCATCGGTGTTGGGCAACATTCGGGGAGTACGTTTGTCCTGTTGCGTGTGGGCATATGGCTTCTCACCATAGTTATCGGATGCGAAACATGCCATCGTAAGGCATGCTCGTCTTTCATGGAGAACAAACGGCGTTCCAGCCAAACGCACTGTCGCTATCGACGTGGCGTCTAGCCATAGAAAGGTCCCGGAAACAGACCTACTAGGCGGATTGCGTCGACGTCGGAGTACAACGTCGCAACATGCGAACATAGTGCGCACATTTGTACAAACGTGTACTAGACTGTCGGCGGTGGCGCACCCGAGTGCCAAAGTCCGCATATGTCGGTCATGTCGGTCGCTGGATCTGAAGGGCTTACTAGTTACTGAGTCAGACTAACCTTTGAAGGTTGAGCACACACCTACCCACAAATTTCAAAACTCCACGTCGGTGCGAAAGTTTGAATGCCGGCCCGCCGCCGTTGGTCCAGCCCCGCACTGGCGCGTTCTCGACGCAAGGATGGGCTTCGGCATGCATCTAAGATTTATGAGTTCCTGCATTCGTCCCTGTCTCCTGTCGGTATTGAGCGCACTGTTGGCTGAGGGCATCATGCAGCCGAGTCCTGTCTACCGAATCAGATTCATTCCGATGCGACACGGAGCGGGCAGGCGGGCGCCAGTACGACACAGCTATCGCAAACTCGCCGGCCGTGTCGCTGTGGCGCTGAAATCCCAACGTTCGACGTCCATCATAACCATCACCCGTCCTATTTCCAGTCTCAGGCGGCTCAAGCTCGCCATGTCCTGTCCGGCCGGTGGCTTCTGCCGTAGCATTGCTGCCTATTATACGCAGAGGCGCTAGCACTGCCAGCCCTTATCACCACGGCGCTTCTGACCATAATGTTTTCAGGGCGGGGGTCGTGCCCATTGGAGGATGCCCGCCGATGAGGTGGTCCAGACGCGTTTCCTCTGGCCCCGGTACGGTTGCGCCAAGGCAGACCGAGTTGCCGGCGAAACTGTCAGAAAGGCACTGCACCACAGGAGCGGTATGGGAGAGCCGTCGTTGCACGAGCGCGGGTGCTTCCGCGAAATGTGTGAAGATCGCTCTGTTTCTGCGTCTACTCCACGGTTGCGGGGCTGTATCAGCAGAAAGGATCAGGGCCCGCTGTCTTTGGAGCGCGTGCAACCGGAGCCGTCGACACACCTTCTTGCCGTAACAGGTATGAGTATCTGCTAGGTGCTCCTCTCGTGCTGTACTCACAGTGGGAACCTTACCAACATTTCGTTTCGGACGCCTGCGCAATCAGCGTGCACAAGGATGACGCTAGCTCGCTGCGTCCCAGAGCTTATCGCCCATCGCAATGCACAGCTCGTCTCGGCTGTCGTCGCTACTCTCCGGCGCCACCAAGACGAATGTCACGAGCGCGCGAGACGGCGACTTTGACGTTCCAACTGATCCGCATTCCGACCCTCATGGACGGAAGAGCGAGGTAGGGAAGAATGTTGGTGAATGGATGAGGTCATACTGCCGTCCATTTACGATCCGAGGTTTGCACACGGGGGCTTCCTATTTGCCCGTGGCATTTGCGGAACCTGTGGGAACGCTTTCACACCGCGGAGCTGGACCTATGCCCCCCGTGTGGGCCTGCGACAATACCCATTCCGGGTACGAGGATTGATCTACCGGACTGCCTTTCTGCGGTCCACTCTTCCCTGGGCGGACGCGCAAGATGCACACTCAAGATCTCTCATTCCGTGCCTGCTTCGCGCTCATGGAATGGATAAAGGCCGGATGAACCCTGGTCGGATTCGACTGACCCCTCCCCGTCCCGTGCAGCGATCTGTGTATTAGACACAGCTACTAGCCTTCGCGACTCCCAACATCCGTCGCACGTCTATCAACTGCCCGCCACCGCCATCATGTCCCCCGACCCCCGCACCCCCGCACCCGCCTACGACGATGCTGAAAAGGGCACTCTCGACCAGGTCAATGTCTACCCTGTCGACAAGAAGCCCCTCAGCTTCCCTGCGGACGAGAAGAAGGATATCTTTCCTGATGAGAAGAAGGCGCTCGCCCCCTTCACCGCACCTGCGACAAAGCAGGATCCCTTCGCGTCGATGAAAGCGACTGGAAAGAAGAAGCCGGCGTCCAAGGCCACCATCGTCAAGCTTTGGTACAACACATATCGGTGGGTGGCCTTCGACCTCCTGATACCGCACATATACTCACATCTATGATAGCAAACTCTTCACTATTGCCTTCTCGATTAATATGATCATGTTCGGCTTCGCCGTCTCCGGCCATTGGCCATACGCACGAAAGTTCGCTGGCGCGTTCGCTGTTGCCAACTTCAACTTCTCCATCCTCATGCGCAACGAAATCTTCGGCCGATGTCTATACTTGATCGTCAACACACTGTTTGCGAAGGTATGTTCAAAGTCCAAAAAACGCAATCCAACCGCTAATTGTCTTGTTTAGTGGACTCCTCTGTGGTGGCGTCTCGGTTGCACCTCCGTCCTACAGGTAAAAGTGTGATGGTCATTGTTGTGGGTTGAGTATCACTGACAGCGCTCTCTTCAGCATCTCGGTGGTATCCACTCCGGTTGCGCCATCTCCGGCATTATCTGGTTGACATTCAAGGTGGTCTTGACATACGAGAACCACCTAAGCGAGAACAACGCCATCCTCGCCCTCGGGCTGTTGACTAACGTCGCCGTCGTCGTCACCGCAATCTCGGCATTCCCGTGGGTGCGCAACACTCACCATAAGTAAGCCTGCCCTGCATTTCTGCGTCTGCCGCCGCCTAATTCATCTGCCGCAGCGTGTTCGAGCGGCACCACCGCTTCGTCGGTTGGACTGCGCTGTTGATGACTTGTATGTGACTCCTCTCGCACAGCCGTGGGCTTGGCTGAAGATTTTTTTCACAGGGGCATTCACGATCATGGGCGACATTTACGACACGAAGACGAGGCAGTGGGTTCCCGATGGCCGCCATCTGGTCCGCCAGCAGGACTTCTGGTATGTCATGGGCATGACGACTTGGATTGTCCTCCCCTGGATCTGCACGCGCGAGGTTCCCGTCGACATCGAGCTGGTGATTAGTTCTCGTAATGCCTGTCACAGTAAACGCTGACGCGTCCTGATCCTGTCAGCCGTCACCCAAGGTAGCCATTGTACGCTTCCGCCGTGGGATGCAGCAGGGATTGCTCGGCCGCATTAGTCGTAGCGCTGTGAAGGAGTACCACGCTTTTGGTATCATTTCGTATGTGCCTTACTCTCACTCCCTTGTTTGCATGGCACCCTGGGCTGACGACTACTGCGTTTAGGGAGGGCACACATGCGAAGTACCACTACATGATCTGTGGTGTGCAAGGTTCGTCACGCCGTGTCCTCACGCTCCAAAAGCAGCTGCCGAGACCTCTCCTTTCGTAGGTGACTTCACACGCAGCCTCGTTAACGACCCACCTCGGACGCTTTGGACGCGTGAACTGAAGGTATGTAGTCCGTCGCAGATCACTCTGCAGGTGATTCATTTTGCTGTTATACCAGTTCGCCGGTGTGTCCAACACCTCCACCCTGTACAAGCGTGGTATCCGTATCTGCACGGGTACCGGAATCGGCGCCGCCCTGTCGACATGTATCCAATCGCCTTACTGGTGCGTCCTCGTTCACACATGTGTGCTGCGGGAACAGTCTATCTGAAACTTCTCCTCGACCGCGTGCGCGTACCTGTGCGACTCTATGTACCAATCTAGGTATCTGATCTGGATCGGTACGTCCCTGCTTCCCTCGCTGCGGAGTCGAAGAGGCCGAGATTGACTTTTGCTCCGTTCCTTCTTTTCTGCTTGCGCCACGGCTCCGTGTGGTCCGCGCCCGCGTGTGTAAAAACAGGCTCCGACCAAGAGAAGACGTTCGGCCCGACGATCAGCGGCCTTATCCATCGACACATTGAGCCTGAGCGGCTGCTGCTCTGGGACTCGAAGGTGCGCGGTGGGCGTCCCGACACTATGAAGATCCTGAAGCAGGTCTACCATGACTGGAATGCCGAAGGTACGCGGATACCGTGCGCCTCGCTCGCTGTCGTTCTTCAAACGCTAACGCGGCGCTCCGTTCACGCAGTCGTGTTCATCACTTCCAACTACATCGGAAACTCGGAGATGATGGAGGTGCGTGTCCGAGATCAGGAGCCTTTAGCCCGTCACACACGGCGCAGCTGTGTAGACGGTAGTAGAGCTTGGCATACTCACGTCGCGTCGTTTCGCAGGGATGCAAAGAAGCTGGTATCCCGTGCTTCGGTACGCTTTGGGATTTCGTGAGTACTTTCGCGGCGTATACGTCTATAGGCGCGGAAAGTGACGGCTGCTATTCTCCCACAGTGAACGTGTCGTACACGTCTCTCGCATCTACGCCGTACTCTCGTGGTAATAGACGGCGATGAACTATCTGGTTGGGCGCTGGTCTCTCTGTACATACTCCTAACATTAACATTGTGTATCCCCAATGTCATCCCCCACATACGCTGCATGTCTCATTACTTTATTCTGCATACAATAGAGTTCCGATGTTATTTCACCTCCGAGCGAGTCGGGACGTCATCGCCCTAGTGCGACGATGGCTGATGCCAGTTAGGCGCAATACCCACGAATGACAAGATATGGAGGTACAGCTGTCTAAAGCCATGTAGGGCGGGTTATCTGTACAGACCCGGCGCGATTGTATGGGGTGCTGGCGCAGTCTGTAGGGTGTGTTGGAACATAGCCCCAGATGTACATGTCATCTCACACCGGATACGGTTTACGCAAGTACCGGCACCAAGCCTGGGATGCCTGCGAACACGTTGGGGGTTGGGGAATGGACAGGAGAAAGAAGGTCTTGGCGGTCTGTGCTATATCGAACAAAAATCATCCTACAACAACACCCGAGTCATATCTATAGAAGGTCACTATTGCGATAACCGCCTAGTGCAAGGCAAGACTAGTACACATGCATTCCTCGGCGCCCTGCAGACATCGTCTGTAGCTGTTTCAGGGGCTAAGAATAATACTCTTCGAGAACCTTCCCTCTCTTGCCCATCCAGGGCCATCGTCGATTGGGATTGATAGCGGTATTGGGCTCCAGTCTCCAGCCACGCCTAGCAAGTTCGATGACAAGTCTGCAGATGTTCCGGGTGTCCTAGAGTAGAGCGCCATGCACGATGTGGGTCAGTCTGACAGGTGTCGCAACGCTGAGATCCGGGGCTGGACTCACATCGATGCCGCTGTGCTGCCGTCCCACGAACGGTTCCAAGCCAAGCGCGTGCAGCTGGCGGGGTATGGGGAACGTCATTCTCCTGGGGAGAGGAAATGCGCCAACCTGTAACGCAGCGGTCAGCAAGAGCTTGATAAACAGAGATTTAGCCGCACGTTCACCTGTCGCCGTTCCACTGCGGCTGCCGTGTTGGCATCATGCCACTCCCCCACTACTCTGCGTACGTCCATGACGTCCCCACTTAGCCAGGCCGGAACTGGGATCTGCCGTTCGACCGCCGCATTACCCCACAATCAGTATTGCATCCCCGCTCGGCATCGTGTGACTGACCTTGGAGATGAAACATTGCTTCACCACAAAGTCTCGAATGTCGTATGGGCCATCGCTGCAGAAGCAGAATCGCGCTAGGCGATGCCCGGCTTCATCGAGGAGCTCGTGCTCCTCAAGGAACTTCCGGAAGTCTTGCAGCACCTCAGGAAAGGTGGACGCCGAGTCCACTTGCTCCTGCAAGACGTACGCGCAAGTGTCAGAAGCGATATGAGCTCGACTAATAATAGTGAAGAATTGTCATGAGCTTTGGAGGGTCCAAGCCCAATCCATACACATGACGTGGTGGGCCGGCAGTCAATCAGGGCTCTGGCTTTATAATGAAGCTCTCCAAGGCATTGACCACACGTAAAACATCACTAGCATGAGAGCAGCGTAGACGAAGGAGGACGGCGCCACGCCATGGGTACTCCTCAGGATGCTTCTATGACGGGAAGTCCCGCCCGTGGCGTGCGGCTCGACAACTTCAGCTTTAGGCACACCATGTTTCTTAGAATATTTCTGATACGAGACATGGTAGGACGGATTGCATGGCGCACGTTGGGCGAGTATGTGGTGCGAATGACGAATGCGGCGCAGGCGTCCAACGAATAGGCTAGTACCCTGTAAGGCAGAGCACCGGGCATCCGGAGAGTCGAGATCTCTACAGAGGACACAGGGCTTGGTAGACACGGCAGACTAACCTGCGTTATACCTGTTAGAGCTTGGCAGAATTCCGAAAGCTGAGGCCGCCATGTGGGCCGCACAAAGCTGCGGAACTCCGCGACAATCTCGAGCTCGCGCGTCTTGCCTTTCACGTTCGCATCCTTCCACCGTAGCAGGCACACGGGCCATTCCTGTGGGATATGGGGCGCATAAGAGACGCATGTTCAGTGTATGCATGCGAATGCGAAAGATACAGAGACTCACGATGATTTCGTTCGGATATGCAAAGTCTGATCCCTCAACGCAGGTCGCCTCCACGTCCAACACGAGGAAGGCATCATATACCTGCTTTAGACGTTTGCCCATCCTGAGGCCTTCGTCTCCGCTCGTTCCGGACTCGTGGTTCGCTTGTGCGTTTGCTCTCTTCGAGCTTGGCCGAGGTGCGGGGCCCTGCTCGCCACAGTCGCTATTGCTGGGACGAAGGCTTCGGGCGCGAGTCTTGAGACGTTTGCGAGAAGTGGACGTCTCGGGGCTTGTCTTCTCTTCACACGACTGTCCATCTGTGTGTAGACGCCGCCTACGAATGATAAGACAGGAGACGACTACCACGGCGGCGGTGAGGAGCAAGACGGACCCGACAGAGGCAGGAGGCCCGTCGAGTGCAAGGGTTGGCCAAGACATGGCATGAAGTGAGGAGAGCGACAGCATGCTGCAGAAGAGCTGAAACACTGTCTCCTCTACCTCAGCAGGCCGGTTCTCAGGGTCCGAAGTCGTTCAGGGATGACGAGGGGTTAAAAGAAGCTCAGCACAAAAGGTAGTTTATAGTTGACCCATTCTGGGCTTTGTGGACTAGCGCACCAAGGTCACACAGAGGCATCTGCAGAGAAGGTGCGGAAGAGAATTGCAAGATATGTTGTGCATTTTCTTGATGGGCCGAATCATAAACCGCCATAGGAGCTTCATAGGCGCTCCGATGCACGTGGCTTCCAAGGCTCCTCACTTGAGCTACAGCGGTTTTCAAATGACTTGTCGTTTGGGCGCCGACAAATGCGCGCGCCACACCTGCGTCCGACGCCCACTGATGCCTCCCTTGTGGACCTTCGACCGACCATATTTCCTCGTCCGCTGCACCAATTTACTTGCTTGTTGCAGATCCCTATTCTTTGAGCTTCCCCGCACATGCACATATCGAATTCGTAGCAGGCTACAATGCTCCTGTCGCGCGAGACGCAGTTCGCGTCTCCTGCACTCCCTCCAAAGTTCGGACAACACAATTCACGAATAGGCATGGTTGTCTCTTCCGGAAACCATCGGATTCACGAGGGTATGGTACCATTAAGTGGAGGATGTGAGAGGTCTGTGATCTTTTGGGAATCTCATTCTGCACACAAGCGGCCTGGGGGCAGCCACCCTGCGTGTTGTCTGGCTCTCTCGTCATGTGCTCGTATGCGTCATACTTCGTGAGTACTACAACATGTAGATGCCCCGGTAGTCCTATGCAGCATTGGAGGACATGTATCGTTACTATGGGACTGCTGGAGAGGACAGGAGAGGACGCTAGCCAAGATGTGTGCTACACTACTGTCATTAAGAATAATATCATTGGGGGTGTGCGCGCAGGCATACAGCAAAGGTATAGAACATGAGTGGAACTGATCTTTGGGGAATTTGATGATGTATGGTGGGGTGGCTTATGAGGCACATGCAGGTAGTCCGCATAGAAGCGGGGAGACGTGGAAAAAGAGAAACTCACCGTGCTCTGCATACTCTGCGCCACTTACCACCCACTTCCTATGCAATCCTCAAGTGTCACCATGCAGTACAAGGC